TTTTGGAAAGGTCATAGTTGCAAATTCTACTTCTGGCACTTTTATGTTTGTGGCCTCAGTTTCTTCATCTGTAAAATGGGTGTACTGATGCCTACATAACAGAATTAGAGTTAATAGTTAACAAGATTGGGGATGCAGAGTATCATCCAAAGAGCAGAAGTATATAAAAAAAATCTCTTCCCTTTTCCCACCAAGTCCTTCATCATGACACAATTTCCTTCCTTACCCACGGATGGGCAGTTATGAGCAGGAGGCCCCTCCCATCCTTACCTGGAGCCAAAGTTTGTCATGCTGAGACCACTTCCCACCAGCAATGCACTGGAATGTGGCATTCTGCCCCACGTTCACCTCGACATTTTGGAGCCGCAGAAAATGGGGTGCTTTTCCTAAGAGAGAAATCAAAAAACATATGAGGACAGAACTTAACAGCCTGTACCACTCCCTGCTGGAGGACAGCGGCTCACCAGGCAGTGGGGAATTTGTGCCTGGGAGGTGGGCTGGTTCAGTGAGAGCTACTGCTGATTAATGACTCACTGTGAGCCAGGTGCTGCTCTAAGACAGTTACATGCATCGCCTCACTTCAACTTCACAAAAATCCATGAAGTGGGCAGTAACTCCATCTCACCAATCAGAAAATTAATGCTCTGAAGGGTTACATAGCTTGGCACCATCAGACAGCCAGACACTGGAGGAGGCAAGACATAAATCCATGTCTCTGAGAGCCTCAAAGTCCATATTATTATCTGCTGGGCAATACTGCCATGTTTGGAGGAAGTTGGAACGGTAGGGAGATTCACCATAGAAGATAGCAGAAAGAAGAAAACTGAAGTAAGCAGCTTTGGGCCTAAGACCTCCATCCCTGGCCCTGGTGATGATGCTGATAATGAGGATGAGGAGGAGGGCAGAGAGGTAAGGCTGGAGCAAAGGCGGAGGAGAACACTAGTGGCTTTCCTTCACTTAGCGTTTACTATGTGTTTGGCATCATGTGCAGTGTCCACACACAGCAACTCATTTAACCCAATGCAGTAGGCGATGGCATTATCTCTATTTTACAGTGAGTAAACCAAAGCACAGAGAATTCAAGACATATTCAGAGTCTGCACTCTTCACTCTAAGGTAGGATAAGATGGGATGGAGGTGGGATATTATATACTCTGGGGACTTAGCTTAACAGGCGAAAGGACTTTCAGATGAAACTCATGGTATTCATAAGCAATAAATTCTAGAATTAAACATACGTTTCATGTTGGCTAACTTGGGTTCATCTCTCTCCTTGTTTGTGGAGATGGGTCCTCACCTACGTGAGCTCTCCGGAGATGACTGGGGTGATAACTTATGTCTAGAAGAATGAGTTTCTTCATCAAGGCACAAAAGTGCCAAGGATCCCTATCACATCAACCAAATCAATGATGAACCAGGAATCATATGGAGAGTTGCTAAGAGGATCAAGGAGGTTCAACAAGGGCTTTTGGCCATCTTTCCAGAGGGAGTCAAACATCCAGAGAGGCAGGTAATAATGTCATTTATGGAAAGCTCCTACAGTGCCAGGCTACGTGATAAATGCTGTACATGTTTTATCTATGTTAACTTCATAGCATTTCTATAAAGCAGACATTACTATTATTTCTCTTTTAGAGAAGCAGAAACCAAGGCTCACCAAAGTTTAATTTGCCCAATGCTACATGGCATCAATAACAGAAAGAGAGTTCAGTCCAGGTCCATTTTAGCCCCAAACTCAGCATTTAACTAGCACACACTCTTGCCTCATGGGCAACAGGAGGTCAGTGGCATCACCCAGAGCCCAGGGTCAAAAGAAAAGGGCTCAGAGGCAAGGCTGTGCTGGCCCTTCAGACTCTTCTCACCCCTCCGGAATACTTCATCACAAGAGATCCCTTTCCCTGCCATTTGTCTCCATGGCCTTCACACTTTGAACTACCTGCTCTAACAGACTGTGTGTCACCACCTGCAACGCTCAGCAAAAGCCAAGGACCTTGATGTGACCAGGCACACTTGCTGTGCAAAAAAACATATACCTTCTGCTCAGGTTTTTAAACATGTGACCATGGCTCAGAGACTCTCTCACACCACCTCCAGGGCCTCACGACTAGATGGCGTCAAGAGTCCAAGGCCCAGGGAAGACGTCTCCTTGTGGGCTTCTCAGAGCTGAAGATCCATGCATCTAGTCAACCTGACAGATGTCATGCTGCTTTGATTGTCTGAAATTGTTTCCCATTTGCTCTCCCGTATAATTTTGTAAAGTTATTTTTGGAACTATCAGTTCAAGTCAATATTGAAGTGGGAATTGAGTAAACCTTGTAAGCCCATTTACGCCACCCGTTTAAAGGGGGAAGGAACATCTACCCCATGGCAGAGATCGGGGACAGAGTCTTAGTTCCAATGTTGGGAGGCTTAGTGTTGGGGACCCTGGGCAGATGGTTTAACCTCTGGGACTTGTGCAGTTAGAAGTGGATCTTCTCTGGATCAACATCCCCTACTTGCTTCTGACTCCTCCCTTTTCCTCAGCAGCAGACCTTCTACCCAGATTTTCATCTTCAGTCCCTCTTCTGCCCTCCTCTCTAGGTTCAGTGGTAGAGAATGAAGAGGCTTAATGGCCCCTGGTGCTACAAATTCTGGTGAAATGCTGAGGGTGTACATACAGCAGATATGTTAAACCCATGCGCCTGCAGGAGCCAGACAGTTACGTAAAGGAATTGAGTGGTTCAATAGTAAAACAAACAAAAACAAAAATACCATCTCCTTGCCCCATCATTCATTTCTCATGTTTCATAGAGATCTGGGTAAAATGAAGGTTTCTCTATATCAGAAGAGCTACATCGCAAGGGCGTAAGTAACCAGTAACTGACACCAGCCTCAGCACTGAAGAGGCAATAAGGAGCGGTGGGGACTTACGGGAACTGAGTGAAGACCCCGTGCCCCATTGGAAGGGAGCAGCTATTCCTTAAATCCAGTGGATGGAGGTCATGTGACAGTGCTGTGCTTAGGGGAGACAAACATCTGATTTTCCAAGGCAAGTAAGAAATCCAGGTTTTAGGTGAAAGCTTTCATTCTACAATCCTGACTGAATGTATTAAAACACCATGAAGTCTTAACAAAACATGCCTGGCGGCAGGCTCTTCTACTATGTGGCCTCTGCTACATAGTCCTTGTGGAATAATTTCCACTGGCCAGTCTTGCCCAGTCTGAAACGATAAGCTCAGGGATGCCCCACCCCTCCAGGCATCACACTGAGGCATCACGTGAATGCTAGCCCTAGATCGTGGTTCTGGACACAGGAAACTATCCAGACCACCCTCGTCCTGCTGAGCACTCTGTCCCCACGCCCTCTCTCTCCGAGCCATGGCTTCATCCCCAGCTCATGACAGATAGCTCTCTCTAGGGATCCTCCTTATGTCGGGGGCCTGTTTGGTCCACTTCTCTGAGCTCCTAGCCTCCCTGGTCCTCCTCCCATTCCCCAACTCTAGTCCATTCTCGAGCCCTGTGCTGTCTCAAATGTTATTTCCCCCCAGCATCTACAGTTTGGGGAAAAAAATTATCCCACCAGCTTCAACTCACCAACCTCTGGCCAAACACCATGGACCCCGGGGCCCAGACCAGCCACCAGCTCGTGGCTTTAAGCATTCTACACTCACTTCCGACTGAGACTCAGCGCCCCCCAAATGGGACCCTGCTGAACGGGGTGAAAAGAAACCTGCCTGTGCATTTGGGCAAAATGCCTCGATATTGGTGACATTTAAACTCCTGCAGATGTCAGTGCAGCGTCTGAAGACATATTATTGTGCCCTTTATCTCCCTCCCTGAACCTGACAGTGCTCAGTAGGAAGCCACACAATTGAGGACAAAGTGAAGTACATATATTAAAAACGTGTTGCAGACATTCCATGGGCTCAGTGCCAGGGCCCCGCAAGGTTGTGATGGGGAAAAAAAAAGTTTAAAAAATTCTAAAAGTCAACCTATGAGCTAGAATCTTTGAAACCAAGTGGAAAATTGTGCTGACATTTATCGTCCACGGCCATGACTGCAGTGGCCCTGCTAATGGCTGACGCTGAAAAATGGCAGCAAAAGGTAACTACGGCCAAAGTCCTTGCAGAATAACACAAAAATGTTAAACGGGCTATAAAATATGGACGAGAGGCTTCAGCTTGTAAGAAGAAATAATTTCCTTGGAGTATCACGCCTATCTTCCGGTCACTGTTTTTTGGAAGCTTCAAGGTAAGTGTATAAAGTCATCACTTCAACCCAAATCAATCGAGAATACAATTGCCAATCGGGCCCTAACCTCCCTGGAACTTTTGGAATATTCAGTGGAATTGCTTATTGATAAACTCTGACCATATGTTAGTTTAAAAAAAATGTTTCAGAGAGCGGGAGTGGAGAATTACAAAGCCTGAGGACCTAAAGAGAATGCATATTTTTTAATAAAGTTAAATTTTTAACCATCTGTGAGTGAAGTCATAAAAGCGTGAAGGCTGGGGTTGGGGGGGAAAGTGCTGTCAGTCCAAAGGATGGTTCAAAAAGTACTAGTAAGTTGCATGACTTGGAACCACATGAGCACCACCAGGACCCAAGCACAGTCAATACTTCAGACCACAGCACTTCTATTCAACCTTCCCCCTCCCCTAGAATCACACCACCTCAGCCTGCACCGTCCAGCTGATTAAGTCAGAAATCTAGGATTGCACCGTTTCTGATGCCTCTGGGTCCTCCTCTAACCCATCACACAGGACCAGTCGGCTGCCTCCTAAACCGCCTCTGTCCACCACCTCTCTCTCCCTTTCTATGCTCTACATTTCTTCACAGCACTGCTTGCCATCTGTTACGGGTTGAACCGTGTCTCCCCAGAATTCCTATGTTGAAGCTCAACACCTCAGACTGTAACTGTGTTTGGAGATAGGGCCTGTGAAGAGGCGATCACGTTAAAGTGAGGTGCGTAGGGCGGGCTCTAATCCAGTGTGACTGGTATCCTTTAACGAAGAGAAAATCTGGACACACAGATGCATCTAGGGCACATGTGCACAGGAGAAAGACCTCATAGGGGCAAAGTGAGAAGGTGGGCACCTGCAAGCCAAGGAGAGAGGCCTCGGGAAAAACCAAACCTTCGTCTTGGATTTGAAGCCCCCAGAACCGAGAAAAAATCAAGTTCTGTTTAAGCCACTCAGTCTACATATTTCAATTTGGCAGCCTTAGCTGACTAATACTACCATCTGTTATAGGTCATAGGATTACCTGATCATTTGTTTTATTTTTAGTCTCTTTCACTTCAGTGGAAGCCTATGAGGGCAAAGAATGAACCTGTCTTACTCACTCCCATAAACCCAGATGAGTGCCTGCCATGGAGGACCCGCTCAGCAAATGTGTTGAGTAATGAATGGATGCCCCTCCACCCCTGGTCCAGACACTGCCATCTCTTGCATGACTCCAGAACGTTCTTCCTAATACATCTCCTGACTTCTTCTCTCTTCCCCTTCAACCCACATCCCCTACAGAACAGCCAACGAGATCCTTTAACAATTAAAAGAGATCACAACGATCCCCAGCATAAACCCCCCCAGGGGTGCCTCCCTGCACTTGGACTAAAACCCAGACCACTCACGAAGACGCTCAGGGCCCTGCTTCCCTTTCACTCAGAAACACTCCCCACTGTGTCTGTGTCTCCGATGCGCAGGACACTCTGGCAGCGTCAAGCCGATTCTCACTGCAGGGCCACTGCACTTGCTGTTTCCTCTGCCTGGAACCCTGCTTCCTCGAAATCGTGACACAGTGACCTCCTGCTAGGACTCAGGCCTTCGCTCAGGTCACATCTTCCAAAACATCTCTCCTGACCACTCTACCTAAAGAGCTCTCACATTCATTATATTCACAGCACTTATCACCATCTGAAATTATATTAATGACTTATGTAACATCAGTTACTTAGTCTTTCCCCTCTTTGTCCCTCTGCTTAGTACACACCATGTGTGACAAAGACCCAACCTATCCTGGTCACTTAAGTATCCTCAATGTCCAGCAGAGGTTCCTGACACATAGCTGATGCTCAATAATTGACTCGTTGAAAGAAAGCATGAATTGGGCAGAGGACCTAAACAGACATCTCTCTGAAGAAGACATCCAGATGGTCAACAGGCACATGAAAAGCTGCCATCACTGCTCATTGTTAGAGAAACACAAATCAAAACTACAGTGATGGATCACCTCACACCAGTCAGAATGGCCATCCTTAAAAAGTCTACAAATAATAAATGCTGGAGAGGGTGTAGAGAAAAAGGAGCCCTCCTACACTGTTGGTGGGAATGTAAACTGGTGCAGCCACTATGGAGGACAGTATGGAGGTTACTTAAAAAAAAACGAAAAAATAAACTTAACATATGATCCAGCAATCCCACTCCTGGGCAGATATTCAGAGAAAAATATAATTCAAAAAGACACATGCACCCCAATGTTCACAGCAGCACTAGTTACAACAGCCAAGACATGGAAACACTATTTACAATAGCCAAGATACGGAAAGGAAAATACCGTATGATATAGCTTACACATGGAATCTTAAAAAAAAAAAAAGTGAACTTATTTAGAAAACAGAAACAGACTCACAGACATACAGAACAAACTTACAGTTACCAGAGGGTAAAGGGGGTGGGAAGGGATAAATTGGAGGTTTGAAAATTGCAGATACTAACTACTATATATGAAATAGATAAACAAGTTTCTACTGTATAGCACAGGGAACTATAGTCAGTATCTTGTAGTGAAAAAGAATATGAAAAGGAATATATGTATGTATGTGTATGACGGAAACATTATCCTGTACACCAGAAATTGACACAACATTGTAAACTAACTACATTTCAGTTAAAAAAGAAAACAAGCATAAATAAAACCCTGGAGGGGATGTGGAATAACAGAGGGCCTTGGGAAGGAGCCTTTGCCAGGCCCTGGTCAACTCCTCATGACTCGTGAGCTATGGACAGATCTGAGGACTGTATGTACCACCAGTACTTGTGTACGCAGTTAAATGGAATTTTTCCAATTCCAGCCAGTATCACAGAATTCTCACATTCTGATTTCTAGGAAGTTTAAGCTTAAGCCGCCTAAGCATCGAGGTTGAACTCAGCTGAAGCACATGCCACAAGAACATGGCTAAGGTCACGTCTTGCTGAGTTATGTCCCATGGCCCATTTGCTGGGTAACTGGCTCTTAGAAACTCCATAACCATATAATCCACACTCCTCAGCAGGAGGAGTATGAAGCCATCAGAAGAATCCTAAATTCAGAAGCAGCCCCAATGGGAGGAGGAATCCAATATGAGCCATGAGGCTTCGGGGGTGGAAAGGCATTCAGATGCCCCCAGAGAACCCTCTCCCACGGAGATTTATCTGAGAGAAGGAAGCATGTGGCTGCAAGGGCAAACCACGGAGAGTGCGTAGAGTTAAGGCAGAGCTGAGTCTCAGACAGGTGGGTGTCATGACAGAGGTAGAAAATCCCAGTACAGAGTTCTGGTATCCCAGGAGTGAGAACCAGGCCAGATTCTTTCAGGAAGAGCCAATGTCACCTTCAAGAAAGACCCAGTGCACACGACAAGCGCAGGGTGAGCAGCAGGATGCAGCTGGATGCAGCAAAGATGAGTGTCCTCTACAAGGAAGGGGTGTGTGCAGGACATGGGGAAGGCTGGAGGCTTGTCTCAGACAGGCTGCCTCAAAACCGGTGGTTGTGCAGGGTGGGGTGTGTGAGGTTAAGTGCACCACATGCAGGAGAGACATCTCCTGACACAGTCTGAGGTCAAAGGTCACTCTCCAAAGGGCAGCAGGTGCTGATTTCCACAAGTCAAGGGAGGGGAAGACTTTTTAATTTATTTTTTTTATTGAAGTATATATAGTCAGTTTAAAATGTTGTGTCAATTTTTGGGGTAGAGCATAATCTATTAGTTATACATATACACACATATATTCCTTTTCATATTCTTTTTCATCATAGGTTACTATAAGATATTGAATACAGTTCCCTGTGCTATACAGTAGAAACTTGTTGTTTATCTATTTTATATATTGTGGTTAGTATCTGCAATTTAGAATTCCCAATTTATCCTTCCCCACCTCCTTTCCCCTCTGATAACCGTAAGTTTGCTTTCTGTCTGTGACTCTGTTTCTGTTTTGTAAATAAGTTCATTTGTGTCTTTTTTTTTTTTAAGACTCCACACATAAGGGATCTCATATGGTAGTTTTCTTTCTCTTTCTGGCTTACTTCACTTAGAATGACAATCTCCAGTTCCATCCATGTGACTGCAATGGCATTATTTTATTCTTTTTATGGAGTAGTATTCCATTGTATGAATGTACCACAGCTTCTTTATTTAGTCACCTGTTCATGGGCATTTAGGTTGTTTCCATGTCTTGGATACTGCAAACAGTGCTGCTGTGTACTCTGGGGAGCGCATATCTTTTTGAATTAGAGTTCAAGGGAGATGAAGACTTAATTCTGGTAAGAGAGACTCATATGCATAAACCCTGCAAAGCTGGGGAATTTCTGCGGCCCTCTTCACATGAAGCCTGGTTCAGTAGAGACATTTTCCAGGCATTACTGAATGGAGAGACCCATCTGAAAAATTCCAGACTTAGGAAGTTACTTCACGGGTATAAACCTTAAGCCAGGATAGTGGAGAGTCTAACTGGATCTCAGCATTCCTGAGATGCTGGGAAGGAGGTTTCTCTTGCATAGATACCAAACACAGTTATCCAAAATATTGTCTTGCCAAAACCCCTTGGAACTGTTCCCAAATCCCTCCAGAGAAGGTGCTCGAAGACAATGAGTCAAACAATGCCACTGTAGTGCCAGGCGGAGGAAGTGATGTTTGAGGCTCTGACAAATTCACTGCAGCAGAACTAGAAAGAACCATTTCAATTAAAGCAACATGGTTGGGGAAGAAATGAGAATAGTCCCAAAATGGGAGAAATGAAAGGCATGTAAGGATAAGACACATGGCATCTCTGAGGGAAGAGCAAACTGCACTACAGCCCTTAGCACGACTCGTGGCTGTAAAGAGAAGCAGAGAGAACCCTACTAGGAGTTACCTAGGGGTCATATGGCTGCCAAGAAACTAATGGGAATCTCCAGTCTGCAGACACTAACAATCTAATGGGGCTGGCAATCTAGCTAGCCCTCCCAGAGGCTGCCATAATCGCTATGCACATCCCTTTGATTAAAATCCCCCCACCAAGTATCACTAGATACAATGCTCTCTCAATGACCCACACCCAGGGATTGTCCCCTCTGAGATTCAGTGATCCTGGGAACCACAGCTTTTTGCTCCAACACATTCAAATATCTTAGACTAAATACAGCAAAAAGAGAGAACTTGGATGGGAAATTGGATGGGCATGGAGCAGAATGTCTTTGAGAATTCTTCCCACTGTACCGTAAGTACTAACCACTGAGAAAAGTCTCTCCCTGCACCTACAGAGAGTTGATGAGGGTATTTAAAATTGCTTTTAAAGAATTAATAGCTTTGGGGTACTTTGCCTTTGAGTGAACAGTGTGCTAATTTGCTCAGTGTTTTGGCGTTGTTCTTTTTTTGAGACAATTGCACAAGATTCTACCCAAAGCCCTCTAATTCTTCCACTTCAGTGGTCTGAATCCCACTAATAAACAATCAGGACTTTAGACTCCCTTAATAATGAAGAGAGATTCAAACGAAGATGTTTTGCCACTCTCTGCAGATTCCTGTAGGTGCTGCCTGTTGAACAGGCCGGCAAAATTATGGATTTATTCAGGACTGATTGCATTGAGTATGTAAGCGTTTTTTGAAGGATTAAGAAAAAGAGAGAGATGTTTGTGAGCTGAATGAATAGGGGGGGGATTGCAGCCTCCAAGCTACCCAGTCTGGCGTGCAGCAAGGCTGCGTTAGGAGGAGGGAAGAGACTTACTGCATGGATGGGCAAGCACCCGGACCTCGTCCACAGCGATGTAGCCAGGATGACCCTTCAAAGAGACGGATTCAAATATCACCTGCAACACACAAGGCAGGAGTCAGTTTTGCAGACGTGGTTGTAGGCATTCATCACAGGAAGCTGCCCAGCCACCAAACCCTTTCTGTCTCAGCTTCCCAACAGAACTACTGAAGGCAGTCTTATGTTAGGCTAAGAAGCTACTCTGGCAATGGATGTGGATTTTCAAAACAAAGTAAAAAGGCCACACTCTGGGGACTAGCAAAAGAAGAATCAGCCACATGACACATTTCTAATGGTTTTCAGAAACAACACTTGGATGGAGGGAAAACCACCCAAACATGGCTGGAAACCCTAATCTGCACCTATTTAATTGTTGTTTCAAGTGAAGCTATAATTAGAAGAATTATTTCCCAATATCCCAACTTTCTTATGAAAGGTGAGGGTGAAGCCACCATAAGTCAGGTGAGGTTTACCTTGATTTGATTCTACACCCCCAAGGAATAGTCCGTCTAAATTACTTAACAACACCTCTTGAAAATAAGCCCCATACATAACCCTTCAAAAGTGGGCTTCCTCTACTCATTTTTTAACTGCAAACATTCTTCCTTCAATGGCTATCAATTCACTGATAATTTCCAAGCCCCGATCTCCACTCTAGACCCCTCACCTGAACATGGGTCTCACTTACCCAGTTCACAGATCTGTAATTCCACCTAGATATCACATAAGTCCTCCCACACAATAGGATGCAACAGATCTGAATAGCTTCCCTACCAAACTGTCTCCCTCACTGCCCAAAGAGCCTCCTTCCTGAAATACAGACCTCAGTGGGTTGTACTATGGCCCACCCAGTCACTGAAAATTGGGATGCAGACAGCTGCCTGGGCTTCTCCATCTGCTTCACTCCTCACATTCATTTCCTTTTTGACTCTGTCTTCTTAGTATTTCTCATGTCTGCCCATGTCTTCCCATCTCTGCTATTAAGTTGAACTACAGGAAGCAACCATTTTGCAGGTCAAAACCAGTTGGATATTAACAGCACTACTCTGCTTCAAATCTTCATTGCTTTTCATTTCCACCATCCCAACAGCCAACCAAATGGACCCTCTCTCTCCTGTCTTTTACTCCTCAGTTTAAGCCTGTGGATGGACTGGAAGGTGGGTGATGAGACCAACAGGAAAGCCTCCATGTGGAACCTTTTTATGGTCCACGTGGTCACTCCAGGCTAGGATATTCAGAGGCCAGTGGTGTCAGTGAGGCCCAGAGCTCGAACAGTTATAACAAATGAACAGGGAACTGGAGGAAAAGGTGGTGATGGCTATGAAAAGGCAGTCTCCTTGGGTGTAAGATCTATCACTAAGCAACATGTGGCTGCCGGGGAATTACGTAAAGTAACTTGGGGACAGACAGTCACATCAAACACAGAGGAGCTGACACCAGCATGACAACCACTCTAGAAGAGGAGTTTACTAACACAGCAGGGTCCTTTGGCGAGATTTAACAAGCAAATTGTGCAGAGGGTAGGGGAAAAGTTTGCAGAAATAAAAGTGTGATATCTGCCTCATCCTGCAGGAGTGGAAGTCAACAGAATATCTTTCCATAAGGAATTATCTATTTAATTATATTTCTAATAATTCAATGGAAACCAAAAGCAAAGTCCATAGGAAAAATTAAAAATAAAATACAATGAACACAGAAACACATTTAAAAGAAATAACACAAAAACATTCAAATTGCATAATAAAAATAATGAAATATTTCTAATGTGACAAGAAACATCAATAGGTTAAAATAGAGAAAAGCTCTCAGACTCTCTAAACAAAGTCTAATCGTATGCTGTAAGATAAACACCTAATACAGAAGGACTCAGTGACCTTAAAAACAAGTTGAACAAAGACAATAGGAAAATGCAAATAAACACAAAATTGCAAAAATGTTGCAAAAGCATCAAAGTAGGACTTAAACCAAAAAGAACTATAAAACCATTAAATGGACTAAAATCGTCATGTAAAAAAGATGCATGAGTCAAGAGACTTAAAAGGAGAAAATGATGGGAAAAGGAAAAAAAAACCCAACAACTGAAGACTTCAACACGTCTTAGACTCTAATCAATCAAATGGAAAAAATTTAACTATCAAGTATGTATCTAACATGAATGATAATGCATTTACTAAATATATGTTAATAGAAATTTTCTTTTCAAATGCTCATGGACTGTTTGTACAAAGATCACATAATAGGCTAAAGCATAACTTCAATAAATCCTTCAAAGAAGGAACTCTACAGGTTTGGAACTATACATTTTCTAACCAAATTCACTAAAGCAATACATTGATGACAAAAGCTTAAAAATCAATTTCTGTAAGTTGAAATATTGTGTATTTCTTAAATACATAATAACTATAATGTCAAAATGTTTTGCATGTTAACAAAAGTCTAAATGAAACAAAATTAGAAGTCAAATGGCAAGTTGAAAACAGTATCTTCAACACACATGCCAGCTAACAGCTAAATATCCTGTTTTATGTAAAGAATTCTTGAGAATCAACAAAATAAGTAAACTCTCCTGAAAAAAATTGGCAAGTGAGCTCAGCAGGTAACTCATAAAAGATGAAGTAGAATTGGTAATGATTTATGAATGCAATTTTCTTAACGACACTAGGGAGATTATGATGGATGAATATTTTCTTTATACTTTTCTGGATTTTCCAAAATTTCTGCAATAAAAATGAGCTACTTCATATTGACAATAAAAATTAAATGCTTTAATGTGCATTACATTTTCCTATCTCTCTGCCTGTTACACTATCACTGTGTCATGTACACTGTCCAACTCCACTAGAGCATCTATCATGCCATCTTATAATCACTTCATCAATTATTTCATTCTCTAAACTCTAAACCTATCGGGAACAGCAGCAGTGTCTTTATTCATTTACTCACAGATTCATTCAATATCTACAGAGACCCTCCTCTGTACGAAGCCCTGAGGCACATGCTGGGGCTATAAAAGTGAACAAGAATTAGGTTCCTAGCCCTGATAAACTTTACATTTTGTGAATGGAAATGGAAATGAAATAAATGTAGAAAATTAAATTCATTTTGTGACTGGTGTTATGAAGGAAATAAACAGAATGTTGTGATGAAGAGTAAACAAGAGGGAGAGAGTCTACCTAGAGTGTTCAGGAGAGACCTCTAAGGAAGGGATAATTAAGAGGAGACCAGGAGGATGAAACTGGCAAATCAAGGAAGAGGTGGTGGAACGTGCAAAGGCCATGAGTCAGGAAAGAGCTCGGGGATGATCTGGGAACATGAGAATGAGACCCTGGTGTGGCTGGGATATAGTGAGGCATGAGGCAAGCCTGGAATGTTAGCTTCAGGTCAGATCACATGAAGGCCTTAGTAGGGACTTAGTAGGGAGCTCACATTTTCTTCTGTTACTGAACAAATTGAAGCAGCAAAGTGACATACTCTAATTGACACTTTAAAAAGATCATTTTGGCTATTCTGTAGAAATTGACTAGGAGGGGGTACACCTGAGCAAGAATGAAACAAACAGACCTATCTGTTGGCTACAGCAGTGACCCAATCAAAAGATGACTGAGGCTTGGGCAAAGGTGGTGGCTCTGAAGAATAAAGATGTTGATGGTTTGAGAGGCATCTTCAAGGGAGAGATGAAAATAACTGCTGTCAAATTAAGAGCGGAGGAGTGAAGAAAAGAAAAATTGCAATGACAACTCTTCAATTGAAGGCCTGAGATTCTAGGCTGATTATGGTGTTATTTACTGACATTGGGAAGATGAACATGTGTGCATGGGCAAGCCCGCAGGGCTACGTCAAGATTTCTCTTGGCCATGTTAATTCTGAGATGCCAATTAAACATCTTATTGGATATATTGAGTAAGAAGCTGGCATCATATTCTGAAGCTCATGGGTGATCTAGGACCAGAATTACAAATGGTGGCAGATTTGGCATCTAAATGTTGTTTAAAGCTACAGAACTAGATGAGGTCACCTTGGAAGACAGAGTGCACAGGTCAAACAGGACTAGGGCCCGAGGCCAAGTGCTGAAAGCCCAATAAAGGACTTCTTAGGATGGCGGGGACTGGAACTTGGTTTTAGGTAGAGAGGAATGAGTCAGGGAAACAGCATAAAATACAAGGGGATGAGGAATCAATGGAATAAGGTTCCAGAGGAGGCAGGAGTCAGCTGGGATCAGGAGACCAGGGGAGATACGTATCATTATTGACCAGGGCGGGCACCTCATCAACTAAGACTGAATGATAATGAAAACAGAGAACTATAACCACGATAATAAAGGCCAACCATATTAACCTTTTATTAGTAGGTGGTCTCAATCTAGCCTCTCAGCAGCCCTGAGATGGGGGACCAGCTGAATCACCAAAGCTCAGTAAGGAAGCCAGAGGTGGATGTAGGACTGAGGCCCTGGTCTCCTGGTTCATGGTCCAGGGCGATGTCCACTCCCAGACGTTAATGAAAAGCAGTCCAACTCTCACTGTCAAAGCACATGGTTGAGTAGAATTCTGACTGTTTTTTTTTTCCAGTTAATCGAAGTTCAACTCTATTAAGCTCCTCTAACACTCTGTTTCTCACATCATCACCCAGTATCTAACCTATATCGTAATTATTAATAAACATTCCGTGAAGGAACCCAAGGCTGGTCATGAGAGGATGGATGTGTGACGGTGAAACAGACATTTCTTCACTGATCTCTCTCCTTTCTTTTGCAGAAATAAGAATTCTATAATGAGACAGACAATCTTTTATTCATCAGAATTCCTCTCGGGAATTTTTTTTATGAAAAGCGCTGGGATAGGTGAGACTTCGGTTTCTCAAATATGAGAGAGTAATATTGTATAAGAAACAAGGGGAAGAAGGTTCTGGTTTTTCATGAAATGAATGAACAGCTGTCAAATACTTATAACGCACATAGTAAGATACCAATAAATGTTCCTGTTAGTACTGCCCTTATTCTGGGGAGAGGGATGGGGGAGTGGAGAGGGAAAATATGAGGAAATGGTGGGAGAGGGAGAAAGC